TTAGTGCAAACTCGTGACTTTATTCATTTTATTGAAATACATTTTCACCATCGTTTGGAGACTTCTGACTCTAATAATATTGAAAGTTTCATAAAAAGCGCTCAATTAAGATCGATCTCAAAATGGATTGTTTTTACTCAAATATGCTCTCATTTGTTAAATTTTGCATTTTCCCACGAAGCGAACAGAAAGTTGAAAGTTTCACGATCGTTAGCAGATAGTTGACGAGAAAAATGCTGAAGATGTCATAAAAATCGTGCAGAATCCTGATTGGTTTGGTTTTTAGTAAATTAAAGTTTTTATGCAACTGTGCTCTTTTCTTAAAAAAATAATCCAGAATCTTAGTTTTTGCCAGCTGAATTAACATCGGTCTCAAAATGGATCGCTTTTATTCAAATGAGCTCTCATCTTTAAAATTCTGCATTTTTCAAACTAAAGCACGCAGAAAGTTGAAATTTTAGCCGTCTTCAGCACATACTTGACTAGAAAGTTGTTGAAAGTTTCATAAAAATCGTGCCGAATCCTGATTCTTACCAGTTTAGTAAATGTCGCTCTTGGAATAGATGCTTTTACTGTACTTCGCTCTTTTCTTTAAAAATTCACCGCTTCCAAATTAATAGCAGAAGCTACTCAAAAATCTCACCCTCTTTAGAAAACACTTGGCTCAAAGGATCCAAAGAGTTTTATAAAAATCATATAAAAACCTGATTTTTCTCAGCTTAGTAAACACGGGCTCGCAAAATTAGGGAAGCGGTCTCATAAGGCATGTTATAACGGAACTGCGGTCCCTTTTTTAAAGATTGGCAGCAGCCAAACTGGATTGAGCATCATTCTGAAACTTTTTTCGATCTTTCGACAACTGACTAATAATTCTGAAAGTTTCATAAAAATCGCCGAATAATAAGTGACAATAATAAATTGCTGGTTTCGGTAGTTTTATTTCGAGCTAAACCCAGTTAATGAGAACTAATTGGGCACGAATCCGGTCTGCGGATGCCTGAAATTAACACATCTAGAAATCTGTTTAGACTTATAAATGCAGCATGTATTTTAAAAAAAGCATTCGCCAAAGTTGCGCAACGTTTCATTATAATAAATGGCTGGCATCTTCAGATGTAATTGCTTGCAAGTTTCTTAAAGCAATATCGACAACTAAGTACCTTCTGTAACAGACCGCAATCAACTAAAGGCTTTTACCAAATAATTAAAATCTATTTTACTACCGAAAAGCGGAATTTCGAAATATTACCATCCCAATGGATTTCATGAATATAAATGAGAGCCTCAAATGATAAAAGCTTTAGACGTCTGTTTCCTAATGATACCATCAGAATTCATATGGCAGATATTTGTCATTGATAAAGTGAGATATTATGACACGTGTTTTCGCTTTTGCTCACGCAATAGTAATTTGGTAATGGGCGAGCCGGAATAATATTTATTCGAGTCCAAAGGTGCATTTTCACCTTATCAGGGCACGGCCTGAGCTATAACTATAAGCTCGCAATATCTGTGCTATTAATATTTTTCCATAAAACTCCTCAACTTTTGTCGATTCAGTCGCATTATATTGCATGGATGGATATGCAGGAGAATAAAGATCCGAAAGGTTGAACGACTCCAGAAGATCTTTGCTTTCTTATTGTGCTCTTACGGAGCAGTGGCCATCGCAGTTTTGTATTATTTATTCTGGAGGAAAAATATTCGATAGTCTGGGTTTGCGCTGATCTTTTCCTACGTCCCGTTCCGCTGCATTTTGAGCTAATGGCGTATATCATTTGGTGCTTGGTACGCCAAGTAATTGGAGTCATTGTCGCCTTTCTGGCTTGCTTGGATAATGCGGAATTTTCCGCTGTTTTTCCATCCAATGTCTTGATCACTAACTTGATCTTGCCTCTCTCATCACTAAGTAATCGTGCGCAAAGAAGCAGTTTTTCGATTAACTGCTAATTAAGCTGCCATTAATCTAGTTGTATAGAGCAGGTAAAATCTAGGCGGCAGAGACTTAATTAAAATTTAAAATCATCGCACAACACCAACCCCGGGAAATAAAAGGCTGAACGCTTCATTAAGCTGGCAGGTTTCATGTCAGTAATTAGAGCATTCAGGAAACCTGGTAAGGAAATTTTGTAGTTGGAAATTACGAGACCAGTTTTCCACTTTTTGGGAAGGTATATGTTCATTGCGAACATTTTATCGCTTTGCCTACAATGTGATTGGTTTAAATCCACCATTTTATTGCATTCCAAACGCAATATCGCCCCATTTTCACGGAATATCCACACGCTCAGTATCCGGCTAATATTTACCCAACCCGTTATTAGATATCAACTTGATGGGTAATGTTTGCGTTCACTCCTCTTTGTTTGGCCTGATTTTCTCATAAATGCCACAAATTGTATTATCTGGCCACCTACGTCACGTTATCTATAATTAAACGACCAACTAAACATACAGTGCGTGAAACTACTGTTTAACATGCAAAGTTACTGCGAACTTTGAATGAGTTGTTTTTTGAAAGTTAAAAAAACGTGTATTTAAATGCAGATGAAATTGTCAAAGTGAGATTCAGAAGAGAAAGTGAGATTTTAAACAAAACCTGCACAATTTATTGATTGGTTAGTGAAAAATTAATTTAAATAATTAAATTTTTAATTTTCACCCGAATTAATTAATTAATTAGGGAGAAAAATTAAAAAAAAAAATTGAGGGCACAATCTCTCAAATAAAATGTATCTTCGTCAATCCTAAACAGGCTGTAAACTTTTTCTCTAAAGATTCGATTTTCTTCATGTTTTTTTTGTAAATTTGCATCCCTCTTAGTTCGGCCTCTTACGGCCATTCTTCAAATTCTCTAGTTTGAATTTCACCATTTTTCATCTTAGAGAGTTTTTGATGCATAATTTTGAGTGCAATTTATATTTCATGTAAGTTTCCTTTTCCTTTGGACACTAATTTGGATTTGTGAAAAACGAAATAACGCAGATTTGCAATTTTTCATTTCTGAGTTTTTCAGTACTATGCAAACCAAAAAAAAGAAACCTCATTCTTAATAGCAAATAATTATCAAACTAACCTTGGAAGGAAGCATTTCAAAATGGATTGCAGACGAAAAAAATTGAACGGCTGTAGTAAAATGCCATTTCTCGGCCCGCATTAAGATACGTTTTAATATTTTGCTTGAAAACAGTCAAGCTGTTTAAAAAATTACTGAAGAAAATCCAGTGGAGAAGCATATTTCAGAAGAATCCAATTATTTTCGAAAATTGATAAAATATTGCATCAACGCCTTTCAATGACGATAATACTCCCACAAAATTTCAGCATTCTAAATCTTTTCGTTTCTAATAAGAAACATGTTAAAATCATTGACAATCCGATATCCCTTTAATGGTCGAGTTGAAACCGTTTTATATCAAACTATTTGCTTTTACAAAGAATACCCTCAGATGTTTCAACTTAATTTTGAAACACCCTGTAGATGGAATTAATTCGGCTAAAAAAATAATTAATCTGTTTATGTGCATTGGAAAGAATAATGAAGGCTAAATGTGAGCAGATTGATGGAAATTGGGATTAGTTTATCTCGAAAGTTTCGAATATTTTAAAATGTCGATGTTTTAGATGCAAATAAATGTCCGTTTTAGTAAATTAATTTGTAACTACTTTCGAATCAATCAAAAATGTTTCTACATTGAATGCAAAAAATCTACAAAAATGTACTTTTTAACTAAAAGTTTTTTAAAGTATGTTTGCGATGTTTAAAATTTCGGACACATTTGGAATTGGATAAGAATACATTGAATAATTTCGTATTTTTTTAAAACACGTAGGTATACAATAAGCTACTTTATTACATTTTCAAGACGCCACTGGTTGCCATCCTGTCTGCCAAATCACCTTTTTCTTCTTTAACTAGTTTTACTAACTCGAACTATCTTTCCACGGTTTTTTTCACAAATTATTGTTTAAAGGGCCCACGAAATATACCCTGCATTTAACATACTTGGCCTGACTATTCTTTCGTGCGAAAAAACTATTATGAACATGGGCCAACAGATTTTTCAGCACGTTCATTGCAATATCCGCGTGAAAAATATGTTTAGACAGATTTTTCCAAATTTTAAATTCAAATGAAATGAAAAATGAAAAATTCAAAAGGCGCTTTTACAGTCACACTTTGGGATGACTCAGGGTTTTTTTTTGTCAAAATTTGGGGTTTTGCTCGCAAAAACTAATTTAGATCCTTGATAAATTGCACTCTGTCTCAATAACAAAATGAGTAATTTTTGGGCGTTGGATTTTGAATAATTTCAACCCACAGATGGTAGAGGTTTTTCCTATGTTTGCACTGTTTCTTGGAGGCTTGCTACATATGAAAACACTTATTTTTATTGTATGATTTTTTGGGGATTCTGTTCGTCTGACGATTATTTTATTATGCAGTCTCTTTCAACATACTGCCTAATACATGCACCCCTGTTTCTCTCTTAAAAAATTATATCTGAAAGTTTTCTTTTTCCGTCGTGTCGATGTTCTGCTACAAAAGAGCCAGAACTTGATAATGCTCTATTTGGAGCAAAAAATTTGAATTGCAGATCGGGGGATGCGTAAAATGGAGAAACGAAATGAATATTTTTTCGATGGGATTATTTATTGTCTGGCATAGAAAAGATAATTTAATTCGAACTTGTTGAACGAGTCTGGAAGTTGATTGCGTGAAGCCAGACTGGCCGACGCCAGACCGAGTCATCCTTTTATTTTCCCCGGGGATATAAAGATTTTCGCAAACTTGGTTTATTGTCTCTATTACAGATTTTTATCTGTGGCAATCGATTTGTTTGCCGTTTTATTACCCTCGTCCTTTTTATGCAAGTTCTGTAAAATAACTCTGTTACATTTTGAATCCCTTTAAAGTACCGTTAAATTGAGCGAATGATTTCAACATTTGCAAATAAGTTAATGGCAAGATTATTTCATAATTAATTGTTGTCACTTACCGGTTCCAACGTGGTTGTCTTTTGATTCCTCTTGATTGTCTTCATTGATTTTCTGATCCTTACTTTCGTTTTCATTAGCTGTTGTCGATGTTTCCTTGCTTGTATTACAGCCCATGTTGGCAGGGTTTTTCCCGTGAGAAGCGCTACAAATCCTGTTTATATCCTAAATAGCAAATTCATTCAAAAACCGAGAAACCGGCGTATCTAATCACTCACACCCTGTACAAATGAATGTCCAAACTCACGCGCAATTCGACTACCAGGCAGAGACAATCTGCAAGCAATTTTGCAAGGTTTTATTGATGAAAATTGTTGATCTGCCGCCTTTTATCCAGCTCAATCCTTTGTTCCCGATATTCACCCTCACGAATTAAATTCCGGACTACGCACCCCCTGAATCGCGATCAAACAAGGGTGTTTCTCCCAACTATTTCATTTAAAATTGTTCCTGCCACTTTCGGGACTTGCGCGTCTGCTGAACATTTATTATTTTTTATTATAAGGACGGTTTGGGAAAAATGCCCGTTCTTACTCACAAGTTGATGACTCACGAATATTTTCCCGTCAAACCTTAAATGGAATTTTGTGCTTTTCTTTATTACCCTCATAACCGTAGGTTTACATTTTCGCTTGCAGGAATTTTCAATTGATTTCTTTTTGGCAACCAGTGATGCAAAAAGGCAAATGTATTATTTTTTTATTCATTAAACCGTTTTCAATTAAATATCGGTTAATCACCCCAAGAAGCGTGATTTAAATTGTTTCAATCTACGAATAGATTAGCTGTGGTTCAAGTTGTAGCTTCAAAGTCGGCATTTTAACTGAAAATTTTTCTTGCTCAAAAACCGAAAACTTCCAATATTTCGCATCTAAAGCGTCTTGCAAATTTTTATTTTTACTCTTTGCATTCTTCGGCTTCTTGAGATGAAAATGATGTAAAATTCGATGCATTTGAGATAATTGATTTGTCTTCACAATTTCGGTCAGAACTGAAAATTTCACATGCGTGCTTTTTTAGATTAATTTATTGCTCTTTTCAATGAACTCGTTGGATTCTTTGCTACCTCTAAATGAAAATTATGTAGAATTTGAGGCATTTTGAGGAAACTCAATTTTTTTCAAAAATCCACCCCCACCATTATGAAAATTTCGGTCAAAACTGAACATTTCACATGAGTGTTTTTTGAGTTCAATGGATTGCTTTTGTCGCAAGAAGCTCCCCAATATGCGCATATCAAGTATTTGGCTCTATAATAAGGAAAATATTGTCGATTAACGATCGCAAACGCTCGAAAATTGCTGAAAATGAGCGGAAACTGTGAAATATTTTGGAACTGAAGCTCCGCGTTCTTTTTTTAATGAGCTTGTTGCATTCTTCGCTGTCTTCGGATGAAAATTATGTGAAATTCGAGGCATGTTGAAAAAAATCCTTTTTTTAAAAAAATCGACCTCCACCCTATTGAAATATTCGGTCTTAACTAAAAAATTTACATGCGTGTTTTTTTAGCTAAATTTATTCTTTTCGACCTAAAAAACTCCCAACTGCACTTTCTAAAGTGCTCGGGTTTATAATGAGGAAAATATTGTAGGTTAAAGATTGGAAACCCACAAAACCCGCTCAAATTGAGCAGAAAAGGTCAAATATTTCGCATTTGAAGCTTCTAGTGCTTTTTCCAATCAGCTCGTTGCTTCCTTTGTCGCCTTCAGATCAAGATTATGTGGAATTCGAGGCGTTTTGAGAGAATTCCTTTTTTTTCAAAAAATTTTCGAAGCGTGTTTTTTTAGCTCAATTGATTGCTTTCGACCTAAGAAGCTCCCAATATGCACGTTTAAAGTGTCTGGGTTTATAATCAGAAAAAAATCGTCAGTTAAATATTGGAAATGCGCAAAAACCGCTTTAAATGTGCCAAAAACATCAAGTATTTTGAATCTAACGCATGCAGCGAGTTCTTCAATAATATCGTTGCATTCCTTGCTTCTTTGAAACAAAAGTTATGTAGAATTCGAGTAATTTTGCTTGAATCGATATTTTTTCGTAAAATCCACCCCTAATTTTTCTTAACTGTTCAGTCAAAAGTCAAAGCTGGGCAACGTTGCATCGACAACACTTTGACTCTATGACATTGACAAAGGTAAACATAACTATAACCTTAAATTTTGTATATACACTTATTTTAAACAAATTTGCCGCAAACAATACACGACAGTCAACATTTATTAGTTTCACACCCCGCGTTAAGCCCCTTCTTTGACATAAAAATAATTCTTAAACAATCCAGCTGATCTATCATGCAGTGTAAAGTGTGTTTAAGTACAGTGTTTTACATTTCGCATCTATTGTACCCCAACTGCAGCCCTTGGGGTTTCGTGATTTACATGTACTTCAAGTACCACTCAGTCCTGAAGCGGCATACCAAATATGTAGTCGAAACTTTGTCGGACAGTGTCTTGTGGAACTTTGTGAACAACTGGCCAAAAAGTAACTGTGATATCAACAACTGTGTTATAGTGCATCCTGACAACATTTATCCTAGTGATAGAATACTTTCAATCCATCATCAAGACTCTGGAACGGTCAGGCGGGTAGTGGCAATACCAGATTTACTGTGCAGAAAAGATGTCCTATGTGTATCCAGTACATTTTTCTACAATAACTTCCAACGAGCCAAAGGGGCTGTTCAAGCCAAACTGATAAAACCCAGCTCGCTGCAAGCCAAGTTTGCTCAGGAAATTGAACTGTCCTTAATAACAAGTGCTTTCAACCTCAGCAATGCCTTTATAGACAAACTGATTCAGGGCTATTTCACGTTACCAAAGTTAATAAGAAAAGACGATGTTGTATGTGTAAACATCAAATGCTTCAGCGAGGAGTGCTTTTATGGAAACCTTAAACCTAACAGCATGGATACGTTGTATTTCAAATGTACTAAAATTCGATTGGAAGGAACTGAGACTGAAGAAGAACAGTTTTGTGCAATTGGAGAAACCGCAATAAAGCAAGGGCCCAATAGTCAAGGGTTTATACCAAAAACCAGCCTTCTAGGGTCTCGGGCAGTTCTTAAAGGCACCAAAAGCTTGTCAGCAGTAGCAATTTGCCCAAATGGTTTACATTTATACATGGAGAAACTAGATAGAGCAATATCCCCATTTTTGCAGAGCAGTAAGCAAAACATTCAATAAAAATAAAGCAGCTGATGGTTTTTTTTGCAGAAAACCTCGGGCTCAAGCCAATTTTTTTATTGCAAGGCGAGGAAGGATGTGGAAAAGATACTTTATTAAGCTCATTAGCTCAGAAATCTGGAATGCACTACATTAAAGTAAGCAACTTTAATTTAACAGCAAACGCTTACGCTCAGAGCGAATCGAAAATGAACAATGTATTTTTTGCTGCTAAAATGGCAGCTCCGTGCATTGTAGGTCTACATCGATTCGAGGTTTGTTTTCTAAGCAACACTCTACTTGCCTCTAATGTTCAAGTTTTTATAGAACTTCGGCAAAAACTCGGAAGGCCATTACGACCAAAGACTGATTAGCTCATTCACAACATACGTGAACAATCTGTTCCAAAATAATGCCTTTCCAGTCATCTTATTTTGTTGCACCAGTTCCAAAGAAATTCCGGCTGAGCTGAAACGGATGTTTTTGGAAATTTTTAAAATCGATTCACCAAATGATACAGAAAGGGAACTCATCCTGGAGTGGATTTTGCAGAAAAACGACATTGAACTCGAAGTTGGGGTTAATTTAAAGGACGTGGCAAGCAAAACAAATGGATTTTACTTTGAAGACCTGAGCGCTTTAGTGTATTACGCAGAAAACATTTTTCACAAAGCAACTAGACAATGCAGCAAAATTGCGCTGGATAAAGATGACTTGGAGAAAGCCGTAGGCAAGTTTGAATTTTCTTGTTGAGATATTCATTTAGATGTTTTATCTCAGATTTTATGCAGTCGAACTACAATGAGAGCCTGGGGGCTCCAAAAGTACCCAAAGTCCAGTGGTCGGATATTGGCGGGCTAAATAATGTTAAGGAGGAGATAATGAAAACTATTAACCTGCCTCTCCGGCGTCCAGATTTGTTTAAAAAATCTGGCCTCACACGATCTGGTTAGTTCATCTTAACTGATTCCATAGAGTTTTGAAGCTCAATATTCAGATTTCTGCAGGCATTCTCCTGTTTGGACCTCCAGGGACCGGAAAAACACTCATAGCCAAAGCGGTGGCTACTGAATGCAGTCTTTGCTTTCTAACGGTTAAAGGGCCTGAATTGCTGAATATGTATGTGGGGCAATCTGAGCAAAACATCCGGGAAGGTGGGCTTAATGAGACTGCGATTATTTAACACGGTATTCCATGGTTTCACTTTTCTCCAGTATTTGAAAGGGCGCGACAGGCCTCGCCATGTATAATATTTTTTGACGAACTGGATTCGCTGGCTCCTAATCGAGGACTTTCAGGCGACTCTGGAGGAGTCATGGATCGCGTTGTGTCCCAACTGCTATCTGAAATGGATGGTCTGAATAATGGGGCTAAATTATTTATTATAGGTGATTTTTTTGTTAGCCGATTGGGAATTTGAGATAACGAGCGATAATTTAGGGGCGACGAATAGGCCGGATTTGATAGATCCAGCCTTATTACGACCTGGAAGATTCGATAAGCTGTTGTATGTGGGGCCATGTACTGAGGAAGGCTCAAAAGTTTCAGTCATGCAGGCTTTGACCAAAAAGTGAGTTAATGCAATTTTTGACTCGGTTTGTGATTAATGGGAAAATTGTTTGATTTTATTTGGAAGATATTGGACTACGGTATAAACAGTAAATACTTGATACGTTTAGATTCAAATTGGCTTCAGATGTCGATCCACAGGAAATAGTCTCAAGTTGCCCGAAAAATATCACCGGGGCCGATTTGTATGGTATTTGTTCGACTGCTTGGTCCTCTGCGGCCAAAAGGCTTATCGACAGGATCGAAAGAGGTTGGTAAATTGTCCTATTTAAAGCCGAAATAATCCTCAAGCTTTACTTGATTTTTTCATTCAGGTCGTTGATTGTTATTCAAAATTTCTTAGCGCAAAAAAGTACATAAATGTTGACTTGAGTCGTCTATTTACTTCAACTTAGACCCCAAATGGGTCAATTATTGTTCACTACATTTTATAACATTGTTATCTCTGTAGTATTTACGGCCTTCTTTATTTGATTAAAAAACTCCACAGACGTCACTGTTGCGTCCTTATCGCAACTTCCTAGATCATCTTAAGGAGCAGGAGTTGGTGGTTCACTTGCATTTAGCCGATAATGTTTCGACCTTCTTTTCTATGAATAGTGCTTATCGTTGCGCAAAGGCCTGATTAAATTAGAAAAATACTTTTGTGTAACTTAAATAAACTGGCTAAATTTATATTTAACTGATTAAATGCTGAAATTTATTCCAGATGCCTTAAATGCAGAAGAATTCACAGATCAACATGTGGAAGTAACTGCTGCTGATTTTGCCCGGGCCATTGAAGACGTAAAGCCATCGATCAGCGAGGTTGATTTGTTGTATTTTGAAAAGTTGAAGCGTGAGCTTACTGCCGATGCGTCCAAGTAAGCGCATATTTTCACTGTTTTGTATAATATATTTTTTTATCTTGAATTCATTTTATTTCGTCTTCCTTTGCTACAACTAGTTGGAGGGAACAGCAAAGCCGCATTTTTCTACAAACATTTATTTTTTAAAAACATACAAAAATAAATAAGGCTTAAATAAGTAGAGGCAACAGAACGTTGCAACTTGATTGCTTGCATTGCAATGACATTCATCCAAGATTATAAAAATCATTTTCACAGCCGCATATTTTCAATAATAAGTTGGTATCCAACTAAAGCCACTTAAATGGGCTCTAATCCCTACGTATAATAAGTGTGCTGATTCTTAAAGTAAGTAAACATATATCGCATGGTTATTGCAAAAAAATATACTAATTTAGCATACACGAACAAGTTACATTAGCTAACTTGGGTTAGTTGGCATCTAGCTGAAGTGAAGTCACATTTTCTCCATTACTGCACTGAAAATTTTCGCCCTTTTGCACTGAGCTGAACAAGCGATTTTGGGGAATACATTATTCTAAAGCAGCTTGTTGCCTGATGAAAACGAACTATACATACACCAACTGTTGAGGATTTTAATTATATCACACGTGTAGGTACGTCTTTAATCACAACAGCAAAACTAGCTTTGAAGATTGAGCCCTAAAGGTGTGGGAGCCATCGGGCCATATTTTTCACTTTTCCTGAGAAAAGTGATCATGCCCGATGTTCCTTAATTAATCCTTCCTCCATAATTGATGTATTTGTTGCACCACTCGTATACGTTATCCTCGCTGTTGCAGCACATGGGGTACACAATTGGGGACTTTGTCAATTTTGCACAAAATTGGCAAACTTCTACCTTAAAGTCCTGCAAAAAATTCAAAATTTTTAGGGTAAAAATAACATTTTGCGTGCGCTTTAATCAAAATGCTGGAATGATTCATCGACTATGAAATCTGCAAATATCCAAATAGTTCTAAGCATGCTTACATCATAAACGCATGGATTGTTGTGTCGGTCCCATTCAGTTGCTGGTTGAGGCGCAGCCTGAATTAGAGTAATGATCGCTAGCAGGGCTAAGAAGCTGACCAAAAGATGTATCTGAAAGAAAAATCTCATACAATTTCTGTACACGTTACTACATACATTTTGCACCCGAAATCGATCGGAGAATGTTTGAAATCGTCAATTTAAATAAATTTTAATTAGGGTTATACCCCAATTATCGACTATCTTTGCAGAAAACATGAACTTTAGTTTCATCTGAACAATTACGCCTACACTATCTCTTGATTAATTAATGTAATTAGTTCCAAAATCGAGCGCGTGGTAAACAGTCAAAGTTTTGCAATTTGGTTTTCAAAACAGGGCTAGTTTTTAAAATAATTTAGCGATTTGAAGAAGTTGCTTTCGAATGTTTGTGTTCTGGTTTGAGAAAATTTTAAAATTTTTATAGTTTGAAGCCAATCAAATCAGTTTTAAACGATTTCATAACAAATGTTTTGTTTACATGTAACATGTAAGGCGTTTGAGGAAGTAGAAAAACACTCAAGGAAGGTTTAACGGAGCTTTGAAAATATGTGAACCTAGATTTTTGCAAAAAAAATGAAATAGACAAAATTTCCATACAAGACAATTTTTTCCCTAAAAAAATTAAAGAGAAAACACAATTTTCAATTTTGAACTTTCATTTAACATAAATTGTGTATGGTATTACAGAGTAAAGATCTTAGACGTTTGTAAAAGTACAAAAAACATGCATGGTCTAACGCAGCTTGGAAATGATACAGACAAACCAGGATTTTTCCAAGATACATTAAAATATTCCAAAATTTCCCATTTCAAACTTGATGAAAAGATGGTTTAAGGATGATTTCATTTAACATGAATTTGGTATATAACAGAGGGTAACGATCAAATTCATAGACTTCTACTGGAATGCGCGTGTTCCGTGAAATTAGGATCAAGTCCGGGTTCGATTAACATTATAAAAGCGATTAAATTGTCTCAGATTGGGCAGTTCAGGGACGGATCACGCAATTGATGTATGTGTGGAAAAGTCGCATTTGAATTAAACTCCTACTAATTATTTCACAGGGTGAGTTATCAAAGGCTGCGAATTAGTCCGATTAGTCGAAACTGTATTTTTAGTTTGAACCTCAGGCGTCTTATCACGGTCATTATAAATAATTAGTTGTTTGCGAGTTTTATAATCGGGAACAAATTATTTAATGTGTCTGGGGTTGATTAAAGAACCATTTTTTCACTTTGTCTTCTCATTGGCCATTTTTTGTCGACAATGTGGTTTATTTTTAAATACATTTCGTCTTTAGAAGCAAGTTTGGATGAGAATCGCACAAGTTCAAACCCCACGAGTCAAACGCGTGGCTGCCCAGATAATTTACGATGTTTGTCTTCTTGTTTATGTATTATTAGCAAATGTAGATTAAGTTATTATGATTTGATTTCCGCATGCGGCTTAATAATTAGATACATTTAGTGAGTCCTAAATCACATATTTTTACTCTACTAACTTTACTTGTTAGTCAATCTATCGCTTCTAATACTACAGTTTTTTAAGAACTGCCTGATTAGTCAAAATAATCAGATCTTTGCTTGTATAAACTTGGGAGTCAAGAAGCCAACTGATGGCAAACCGAATGAGGGTAATAAACTGCTTTATAAAAATAGCAAACAATAATAAATTTCTCCCAATGAACCGCTTTTTGTTTTCTTGTATGATGTAAAAAGCCAATTAAGTTACGTGGTTTACCAGTCTGGTAAACGAACTTTTGCTGGCGAATAATATATCTATGAGTGCAACAAGGAAGATCCATACCTAAGCCCCGTATAGAATAAGAAAAAATACATCAACTGTTGGAGGTGTGGCCTAGATAAGGCAGCCAATGCAGTTGGGCAGATGTTGGCAAATTTTAATTTTACTAACTGCAGTGGTATTCTCTTTCTGGTGCAGAATTAGGCGAAATCTGCCTTGTTCCTCTCACATTCAAAAGGAAAAACCCGGATGTTTAACCTGTGAGATGAACTCAATACTTTCCATGATTGCAATTGGAATTTAACCGATGCGATAGCAAAGCTCTTGAGATTTTTTTTTATATTTCATCAGCCTTAATTGATGGGTTTATTTAATTGTTTAATCTACTTTTTCGGGATTTCTTCAGTTATTGTACTTATAGGTAAACCTACTTCTAATCGTAGGATAAATACAAAGTTACCAATTTAATTCAACATATTGAATAAACCAATTGGATATGGAATATTCAATTTTAGCATTTTCGCTAAAGATTTTGTTGCATTTTGAGTTATAGAATAGTCGTTTCTTCTCAATCTACGAACATATTGTTTCTTCAATGTCCAATTGATTAATATGGTGATCTTCTAAAATCTGCTAGTTATTTGTGGAACTGATTAGATCACGAAGCAAACGAGACTTTTTATGTTGCAGTTTTTAGCTTTTTTTCAGCTGGAGACCTGAGTTTTGTATGTTTCTCTTAACATAAAAAACTTATTTTCTTTCAGGGTTTTACGGTAATTCATATTTTTCCTTCGTGCGTTTTTTTTTTTGAAGAAAAAAAGTATGAAGTATTTTGTTACAGAATGATCGTTTCTTCTCGATCTTAAAACACGGTTTCTTCATTTTGCGTTATTGATTAATATGGTCATAGTTTCTAAAAATCTGCTAGCTATTTATGTAATTGCTTAGGTCAAGAAGCAAACGAGAAATTTTTTGATTTTGCAGTTTATTCTGTTTGAAATTTGCATTTATTTGTATATCAAAAAACTAATTTTCACACTAACTATAGCAATCTCTTCCCCGTGACTTACATGTTTTTTAGCCACTAAATGTTTCTTGCTAATTCTTTATCTTATCCAAGTTTTTCTCTGTTTTTTTAATGTTTGGTGCATCATAAATAAATTGAATTTTAATTTTGTGGAAAACCTAAAATATAAATTAACGAAAGTAAAGAAAATCGAACGGTAAGACGAAGTATTGAAACTACGGTAATTCATATTTTTCCTTCGTGCGTTTTTTTTTGAAGAAAAAAAGTATAAATTATTTTGTTAGATTTTGAGTGACAGAATGATCGTTTCTTCTCGATCTTAAAACACGGTTTCTTCATTTTGCGTTTTTGATTAATTTGGATAAAGTTTTCAAAAATCAGCCAATGATTTAAATAATTGCTTAGTTGAAGACGAAAACGAGACTTTTTTATTTTGCAGGTTTTTTCTATTTGAACTGTTCTGTTGGCAATTTGAAATGGTCTCTATATCAAAAAACTTTTAATATTCCAATCTTATTCCCGTGATTTACCTAGTTTTTAGCCAATAAATGTTTCTTGCTAAGTCTTCATCTTATCCAAGTTTGTCTGTGATTTTTGTAAATTATAACTGTAACAGCGATATGACAAAGAATAAAAGAACGCGTAGTTTACAATTTTTGCCATTTATTTCTTTGAACAAGAATTCGCCAGCTAACAAACCGAACTGAATATACACAGAAAATTTGAAAAAATGTAGTGAAAACAACAACAAAATGAGCAAGATGCTTATGGACGAAACTAATTAATCAGAATACAGGAAAGACTACAAATATGAATTCCACTAAAATGGGGAACAAAAGAAATCGAAGATAAAAAACAAACTTTGAAAACCCAATTACGAAAATATAAAACAATAATGATGCTTTCAAGACAATGAGTAAACGTACCTTTATAAAACCCATGTTGAATCCAATCTCCTAAGCAAGTAGGTAAATTTGAAACATGTACGAACAATCTTAGATCACCGTATTCCGTATCGCCTCCGAACTTTAGCAAATATACGCTCCAGCATCGAATCACGAATAACCATCAAGGAAGAGCAGTTGCGTTTAAATATAATAATTTCATTAAATGTTAATTGGTCTCGTTTTAATTACACTTTGTGTGATAACAGCCACACTTTGGCTAGTTGTCATGTGGAACAAGAGATCAGCCAGCTAAGACATGGCCAATATGTTGGATAATGCGCTCACTGTACTGGGCCTCATTCTAGTTTTGAGTAGAAAAAGAGAGTTTTCAAAATGTTTATTTGAAATGATCAGTTGCAAGCCAAAACGTGATTTTGATTTGTCTCCGTTTTCAATTATTTTATCAGAATCACATAAAAGAAGGTACAGAGAAAGCAGTTGCTTTGCTGCGGTTATTTCAATGAAGAGTTGGGAAAATGGAAAATTTTCGACTTTTTCACCGGTTGGCACCAATTTCTATTGTTGAAGATACCGGAGCTTCTTCGTTCAGGTTATTCCTATCTAGCAAATGCGAACACATTTATACAATGTTTGGAATAATGTATTAGTGCATTTTCTCCATTTATTCATTCGGGACGGATTTAAATTATTCAATTCTTGTTAAGATTCTGCATGAATTGATATTATTTTTTCGCAAACTTTGCAAAAAAAATAAAAAGATAATCGAAGAATTATGGAAGTTCAGTTAACGTGTTTTTGCTTGAAATTTATAATTTGAGTCTCATTTGCTGAGCTATTTTATATCTATTGATAATTAGCATGTTTTATGAAATGAATTCAACTAAAAAAGAAATATCAAACAAAATAGTATGAAAGCGTGAAAAGTTGTAATTTTCTTTATGACGAATTAGTTAAGGAGTTGAAATCATGCTTCCATAAACAAGAGAAGTAGAGCAATGAAAATATATAAAATAAGTCTTTAATAAGAAACAGACTGGATTTCCTTGAAAAATTCATTGTTCAGTGAGTTTTTGAACAAATTATTCTATTTTTTTCGCTTAAATCAGCTTTTTGGACTCACCTTCAAGCGAAACATCTCCAAATTTACAAATTTGCAGTTGAAAAAGAAACACCAGCTTGAAGACACTAGACTCGAACTGCTACTGTGATATGATCCTGATTGAACACGTTTCCCAATTTATATGTGAAATATTATTGAGAGGGGGTTTAACTTATCACATGGGCACAAATTAATTAGCCAGTTATCCGGTATGCTCAAAAATCACCCAAAAATTGCTGCTCAATATTTGAAAATGGCTTGAGGAAAGACAAATTGCACGCTTTTTTGACCAGTTCTTTTGCAGGACTTACAACTAGAGAGGGATTTTTAGTTCAAATTCTATGAAATTTCAACCCACATTTCAGATGATCGCAAGAATTCAAATATTTGCTAGTTAGCAAAAGCTAAGCTCTTTAGCACTGTAGGAAAAGTGTCTAAATACTAGTTTATTCTTGCGTTCAAGCAGCTCATTGCAATAGAACGGAATAAAATAAATAAAGTGCGGAATATTTATATGTGTCCTGGTTAAACATTTGAAGGCAGGTAGTTGTTGAAGGCCGAAATAAATGTGGGAACCTATTATAAAATAAAGTACCTGATTAAGATAATAATGTGAGGTATGAAGTAGATAGTACTAGATTTTTATTTGGCCTCCTAGTATTCATTGTCGTGAGACGTTGACTCATTATTGCTGACGAATCGACTAGCTAGCAACCAAAGCCACATTCTACACTCGTGCTAGATATAATTCCACTCGATTGTTGTCTGGAAACTCAAAAAGTTTATCACACTCATTAGTAGCATGTGAAACTGCTTAATTAACTATTTCGAAATTTGACTTATAAGTGTGGGTGGATAAAAGTCTGCCATACCAACATTATCCATGTTGTTCCTTTGGACTTTCTATTTCTTCATTTCTATTTCCCATCTAATGTTCTTGATTGTGCCTTTTGTAATTCTATCCACCGTTCCAGATACGCACGTTTTGGATTAATGAGTGCTCAGACAAACGAGTTTCTTATCATTCAAAATGTGGATGACACACACCATATTTGAAGAGTCCCCAAACAAAAACACGATCATTTTGGCTGGCGTCCACGCGCCATGATTGCCTTCTTCATTATCTTCGATAAATCGCGAATGTTTCGTCTACTCAATTTTTCTCCTGGCAATTCTGTAGGGACCGAAAGTATTTTTAAGTTTATCCGGCTGTTTCTAATGAAAAATTGAAGAGTCATTTAAAAATGTACAATCTACATATACAGTTGAGTCATACAACATTAAAGTTTTACGTTTCCATTTACGCATTAAATTTCGCCTTTTAGCTAAAACCTGCCAATTAAGTAAATGGTTTTTCGAATTCTCTATTCAGTGGTATGAAAACGAGCGCTGTAGCTCTAATCGTTCTTGAAAAGTTACCAAAAAGGCATCATGTTTGATATCAACTGCGCGAAAGTAAAAATAATCTTGAAATTTTCCTTCTTGTGAGAGAAAAATGTGTTAAGTAATCCTCTATCAAATGGTGCCGAAATCTAGCTAAATTTGTTTCTGCGATGGATCACCATAAATGTTTATACTCAACTGTGGTCTCTCCTTAAAAAATGCGCATCTTCCGAACTAAAGCAAGCAGCAGTTTGAAATTTTCACCATTTTTAAAAAACATTCGATCCCAATAGTGCTAAAAATATCGTAAAATTCGCCTAAAATCCTGATTTTGCTCAAACAGGCGAGTTTTGTGGGTTATTTGAAGAGTGCGGAGGGTTTTTGCAAAACGATTCCGGATTTTAGCTTGGATTTACGATAAATTTCTCGTAATACTATGCAGAATTTTTGTTAGTGAAACTGGAGCGTTTTGGAGGGTTACGGAAGTTGAGCCTTCGGAAGGAGCTGGAGTGCGCTTTTGATTTTTCAAATTCAATTTCTGCGGATCAGATGAGAATTTTTTGAGGAAACTTCTGAACTCTTTAAGACACTTATTTTGGCAATATAAACAGTATTTGACCGCAAAAAATAATGTTAAACGTTGAGGGGTCAAAAACTAAGAATTTTTTGCGAGATTCGTAAATGGCCTAATCCTGAGTACGCCATTGGAAACGGGAGGCCAAAAATTAGAAAAAATGAAACATTTTCCCTAAATAGCTCAATAAGCCCGCTTCTGATAATTTTTTATTTGTCGACCTTTTTTGGAGAAAAATTTCCAAAAAATTGTTTTTTTTTTTGATAGGCCGAATTTACCACAGATATTCACCTGAAAAATTAGAGTCCTTGAGAAGGTCCACTTAATGTTAAAAAACGAGTCAAAAATGTAATATTCCAATATTTCTCTGTTCTGTGGTATGAAGCGAGTGCTTTAGCTCTGCTGGTTCTTGAAAAATTACCAAAAAAAAAGAATGTGTAAATTTCTCTTTTTGTGTAAAAAAACGAATATTTCGTTTGAAATATGTGTGAGGTTATTCTCAAATTTTACGGAACTCTAGCAAAATTTGTTTCTGCGATCCATCACTATGAATGTTTATACTCAACTGCACTCTCTTCTTTATAAATGCGCAACTTCCGAACTAAAACAAGCAACATTTGATCCCAAAGATGCTAAAAGTTTCGTAAGAATTGTTATTTTTTCATAGGCCGTATTAACGACAGATTTCCAGTTGAAAAAAATTAGAGTCCTTGAGAACATCCACGTAAATTGCTTGGTAAATGAAGTTTCAAATTCTCTATTCATTGGTATGAAACGAGTGCTTTAGCTCTAATGGTTCTTGAAAAATTGCCAAAAATAAATAGAAAATGTATAAATTTCGCTTTTTCTGAAAAAAAGTAACATTTCGCTTCAAATATGTGTAAAGTACTTCTTTATCAGATGGTGCGGAAATCTAGCAAAATTTGTTTCTGCCATCGGTCACGATGAATGTTTATACTCAACTGCACTCTCTCTTTATAAATCGGCAACTTCCGAACTAAAGCAAGCAAGAGTATGAAATTTTCAACATATTTAAAAAACATTCGTTTCCCGAAGGTGCTGAAAATTTCGTAAAAGTCGCCTAAAATTCGAATTTTTTTCAAATTGTTTATTCCAACTGTTAACTTTGCAAAAATTAATAGGCGGGTTTTAGTGAGTTTTTTTTGCAAATAGATTCCGGCTTCTTGTGGTACTTTGCTGGAGTTCTGTGAGTGAAAATGGAGCGATTTTTGTGGTTACGGAAGTTGCGTTCCCATAAGAACCTCCGATGCGCGTTTAGTTTTTCTGCTCTGGATTAGTGGAGAATTTTTTTAGGAAACTTCTTTGGGGGCATTTATTTTGACCATATATTGACCTTTTTGCTGTATTTTTTTAGTGAAAAACACTTTTTTGGTCAAAACTAAAGATTTTTTTAGCGATTTTTACATTGCATTTTGCTACCAAGCGAACCTTCTTAGCTTCAAAGAAGTGCTCTTTTCAGGCATTTTGTACATGATGAGATCGACCTGGGTACGCCACTGGGAGAAGGTAAAAATTCAGAGAAATACACTTTCCCTAAAGTGCTCAATACTGATGATTTTTATTTTTCGCCTAATTTTGGATGAAAATTTCCGAAAAATGGATGATTGAGTCTATGGGCCTAATCTTATCAAATCGGAGTAAAACTAAAAAATATGTTAAAATTAAATTTTTGGTATAAAAACTGCCAGTATTTCTCAAGGAAATATTTCCAAAGGATGTGCTTTTTAATTATCTATCCAGAAGGGAGCGCGCACTAACCCAAACTAACTCAATTTGTTCCTGAAATGATGGCATTTTCTTGTACCTTTTCGTGTTAAAGCAAATTAAATCCCAAACACTTTTTTAATTTTTCAAAGTGTTCACTGAAAGCGGTGTTAATGTTGATAAAAATGTATTTTTGTCACATAAATTGGTATTTTTGGATATGCGAGTAATTGTCGAAATCTGCAGCTCGTGGGATGATCCATCATATGATCACAATTTAATGCCTCAAATCTCCATGTATAATAATTTGTGGTTGGTCTCCTTTCAATTTTAAGTAAGCCTGATTACGTAATTTACATTGGCGATATTTGTGCATGCTATCAACCGGCTTGGCTCGTGACTCATCGTCTTATTTAAGACGTTTTTTTGTAACAATCTTTCATATCGTCTGTAGCAACTGGAAAGTTTGAGGCAGATAACGGAAAAATAGATAAGTTTTACTTAGAATGAAATTTTGGAAATTTGGATCGCGCTGAAATAGCTTTTACATAATGAGCGTTGACCAAGCGATATATGAATATGGTAACATTGGAAAATCGACTAAATTGATAATTGGCGAAGCGGAGGGACCGGCACAGATGCAAACGCCCGATTATCACCAAAAATGCAATCAATCATTAATGGCGATGTTTCGAAACTGTCTGCAAAAATAAGACGAGGAATTTTGTTGTTGTTTGTGCAGAAAATCCGTCTTGCGCGCAATTTAATACATAATTTAAATGTACATTAATGATAACCGTAATGAGCACCAGTTCTTTTGTTACTATTGATGATTGTTTAACAATTCCTATGTTAATAAATCAACTGATACCACATAAGGTAGGGCCCAGATATGGCGATCTAAGAACCAAAAAATCCCTCTGGTTCAGAAAGAATGCAACCGTATTTGGTTAAAGATTTTTGGAGTCTATAAACACTATAATTTGGAACTCTGGGAAAATATCTAAAAAACCTTGCATTTGTATAAAGCACTTAAAATTTAATGTATGCTTTACATTTATTCTGTGCTATTCCTAGACAATTCACTGCTCGCAAGTTGCTCCTTGTGGCAATGCAACAATTTAATCTGCGCAGCCACTCTGTCCTCCAACTCATTCAGCTTATCCTCCCTTACACTGTCCCTGATTTTTTGGAAAAATCTCAGCATGTGATGAATATTATGCACCATTATCAGCACTGATCCGAGCAGTTCTTGAACGGTTAACAAATGGTGGATGTAGGCTCTTGAGTAGCCCTGGCAAGCGACACATTTACACTCCTTGAGCACGGGTTGAAAGTCTTCGCTGAATTTACCATGTCTCAGGTTGATTTCATAGGACTCTGATGCTTCGCCAGCATCAATGGCAAAAGTCAAGGCAGCAGATCGCTCAGTCAAAATTCGGCAGTAGGACGTATCAAAAATGTCGATTCCACTGTTCACTAGTTTGATGATATTCAGGGGGCTCCAGCAGCCCTGAATTGCTCGCAGTTTTCCGGGGGGCAACTTGGATATCACGTAGTCCACAATTGGCTTGACTTCGCTGAAGGAAATTAGCTCAACTTCCGGCCCATTGTTATGCAGCCCATCAATGAGATATCCCTGAACATCTGGCTCGTTTGGCGAAAGAAGTTCCAGGCATTGTTTACGTGATTTCACACAGTAGCCGCCAGCAATGGGCGCGATTACGAATGCGTCCTTAAGCTTCTCAGATTTTTTGTGCCGCTCTATACACCTCTGGTTGAAACTGACGGTGTTTTCCACTGCTTTCGACACGCGCTTATTGGAGCTGGTCATGTTGGTGTCTCCATCACTCAGGATTATGTACATATCAGGCCTAAGTTTCTCCACCATATCCATGTAGTTTTCACTGTCATACAGCACTTTGCCCCGCTTGGTGAATATCGGCACTTTATCCTTATTGTGATGGCCCTGTTTCATCAAATTTGAGGGATCATTCAAAGTTACGCACGTTAAACTGTCTTTGCTGCCCACAAAGTCAGCCACTCGTCCATCGTATAAATGGATAGCTTCCAGATAGTTGTGCATGCTGACCACTGGAATCTGAAGAAAATGGGGCTCTTGAGTGACGAGCTTAAGAACCTCATGGGTTATATGGGGAATGTGGCCCGCCTGCGTGTGAAGGAGCGCTAACGGGGTCTCCAGACAAACGTCGAGCTTACCAGCGATTTGACTCAGTTCTCCAAGTCTAGGGGAGCGTTGCAAAACAGTTTTTACATTGAACTTCATGATTTACTGCTTCGAGTAGCTGATATGAAAAAGTGAACACAAAACCGGATGAAACAGAACAGGTGTGAAATATTTTGTTTTGAAAATTTTGGCATTAATCAGCTGATTGTTTTAGGCAACCAAACGTACAGCGTGGATATTTAATGGGTTTGAGGGCGCTTACTTTTCGTTACTAATCCTTACTCTACACAAACGAGTCTTGAACTAGAACAAACTTATTTTGATTAATAAAATTAATTCGAAGGAAAGAATAACAAATTAACGCAACGAACAGTTTAAATTATTTCATTATGCTCCAGTTCGTAATTCCCATTAAACGCTGGTAAAGAAGGCAAATTTTTCAGGTAACTGAATGAATTTAAGCCGACTACCAGTCGTACCAGTATTTGTGTGTCCGGTAGCCGTAAAAGCAATAAATGTATTTTAAAGTTTGCTCTTTTGGTTGTTATGTAACAGAATAGCAGGAGTTTTTACGCGATTGGTTAAAGCGATAAATGGACGTTAAATCAGGGCAAACTGATGACCAATAAGAGTGTTGGTTTTATTGTTATTTTAGCGACATACTACGAGTTTGTAAGCGATTGGTTAACTCGGGTAACGCGACATGTTGAGTAACCAGCGGTTTCAAACCGGACCTTCCTAGCTATTATGTGACTTTTCCTACTTTTCCTAACCTCAAAATTTCACTAACCTATTCAGCTCAAATGGAAGTGGAGTTTAAATGGATTTTAAGCAATAATCAGAGTTGATTACGGCTGAAAATTGTTTATTCAGACACCCAATTATGTCGGCAGGTAGGCTAAAGTTGCTGCGGACTATCATTGCCCCGAAAGTCGTCAAAGTGTTCCAAAAGATGTTCAGTGATAAGTTTCTACTTTACACCAACGTGGGCCTTTCAACGAGCCTCTCAGGCTTAGGGGATCTTATCGAGCAGAAATACGAGCTGATGAGCGAAGAATTGACCGAGTGGGACAAGGTGAGGACGAGAAATATGACCATGTCTGGAACAACTGTGGGATTCGTGTGCCATTATTGGTACTCCCACTTGGACAGGACTATACCGGGGTATACTGTTAGGATAGTGTTGAAAAAAATTGTCGTGGACCAACTAGTGGGTTCCCCCCTTTCAATATCAACGTTCTTTGGTACTTTGGCAGTACTGGAAGGGTCCACAATAGACGAATTTATTAAGGAAGTGCAAACCAAAGCTTGGCGACTCTATGCTGCTGAGTGGATGATTTGGCCTCCCTGCCAGTTTCTTAACTTTTATGTTTTGTCCACTAAGTATCGGGTGTTGTTTGATAATCTAGTGTCTTTAGGCTATGATATTTTCACATCCAGAGTGAAACACAAAGACTACTCAGAATCAAGTGATTAGCCTGAGGATCTAGTGAACATGGCATTTATTAAAGTTGGAATCAAGGCGCGAACTCAAGCGATTATTGTGATATAATTGGATGGGAACCATTACTAACTGTGTATGGATTGTGATCAGAACGCGATCCTACTAATGCCTTTTTACCTATCGTGATTTATATTAGTGCCTATTCACTAAAGTAAAGCAACATTTACATGTTACTTATTGAAGTTTTTCCTCCAATTCCTTTTGAGGATTAAAAAAAAACATAGTAATTGTCCGCAGAGATTTACTTTTGAATCTGGTACCTGCCATGTTTCTTCTGGTTATTATCCCTCGATGTTCAAGAACAGTAAAACGCAGTTTGAGATAAGGAAAACGTTTATTTTTTAAGACGGGATCTCGTTAGCCAGCAATCAAGTGTCTAATAGCCGTGGCTTTTGTATCCTCCTTGGCCACCACCTGCAAAAGATTCAATACGGCATCAAGACTAAATCATTTATCAATCCACTGTTATCAAATGAGAAGATGTTTTCTAAAAACTCCTTTATGTGCGTCTTTCGAAATGTGCGAAGCTCGTATCAAAATTGCGAATCGCGAATAAGTAATAATAGTGACACAATTTTAAAGAGTCTTAGGCTAAGAAATGAAGAAGAGAAAAGTAAATTAATCCCAACAGTTGAGTCAAATTATCCAAAAATTAACCAAATTGAAGCTAAGACTTTCATCAGTTGCTTCCATTGAAAACATATATCATAGTACCCGGATTTATCCACAAATTAGCGACTTGTTTGAATAGTTTTACTTTAATTCAAGTTTTTCCCTAAGAGAATGGAATTAAATTCCAACTTGTTTGATAGGGAAAATAACAAGTTAGGTACCTTGATGTCCTCCTTGTCCACCGCCAAATCCGCCTCCTTGGTGTCCACTTTGTCCTCCTTGACTGCCTCCAAATCCACCTTGTCCACCTCCTTGACCGCCCCCAAATCCACCTCCTTGACCGCCCCCAAGTCCACCTCCTTGTCCACCTCCTTGTCCGCCTCCAAGTCCACCTCCTTGGTGCCCACCTTGTCCTTGGCTACCGCTGTTAAATCCACTGTCAAAGCCGCCTCCTTGGCTTCCGCCAAATCCACCGCCTTGGCTTCCTCCGCCTTGACCTCCACCAAAACCGCCACCTTGACCACCTCCATGTCCACCACCCTGGCTTCCTCCATAGCCGCCACTACCATAAGGACTCGAACATGCGACTGTTACAAGAACTGCTAAAGCAGCCACCTAAAATACCAAAAAATAATTTAAAAATGATTTTTGCAAAAAAAAAAATTTGCATCGATTAATGTTGAAATTGCATTTTGGATAATAAACGACTTGACCGGTGCTCATAAATTTTCTGATTGCATAAAGCTAGGTAATAAATAAAAATATGTGTATACTTACGAATAATAATTTGCCCATTTTCTAACACTTCTTTGTCAATGAGTAAATTTTCAAATTGTGTGTTTTCACTCGAGAAGGTGCCTCTTATATAGTGGGACTTTACATCACATATGACGCGTGATATAAATATTTTGTCCAATCTTTCAAAATAGTCTGCAGGGGTCACCTGATAAAGACAAACCCAGAGCACTATAGAGTTTGGAACAACAATCTTCACAATATCTCGTGCATTTTTACTTTTCGAAGTTTAACGGTCAATTGTTTAGTAGTCCAAGTTTTCTCCAACTCAACTTGTTGAACTAATTTACTGAAGCGCCGTTTAAGGAAAATCGTCTTAAAAACTCACTTCAGGAGCTGCATAACTGAACATATAAAACTAAGCAAAATGGGTCAACTATAGACCTAAAAGAGATAGTAGGAGAGGAAATCGATTATTTAAAATCGGAGCATTTCAGTTCAAAGTTCACGTTATCAAACTTTCGGGACAAGTTGTTTTTCAACAACATTAACTTCTAAGAATCCAAATTGCAACTACATGAAATTAAATACATTCAAACCAAAAACGGTAGTTTTTCAAGTGAATTTTCACCGTAGATGTGTATTGATATTAATCCTTTTTAAGTTCGAACTAGTCAGATTAATAATAACGAGTTTCTCCAGCCTTAATTAGGCTCAGTAACTTAAGGCGTGATTACTGGGAAAGTGAGATTATCAGCCTTATTATTGTTATTATTATTTAAAAGTTGATATTATAAAGCGAGCTGTACGGATAATGATTATTGACCCCAAAACATAAATTTAGTGAGTAATTTTGTGTAATCCTACTTCAATTTTCTGTACAATCTCTCTTGAAAGCGCAATTTTGTGCAAATTGTCCTTTTGAAACTTTTCCAGATTCTGTTTCTTTATTTAAACATTTTAAGCCAAAAATTAAATGTTTAATCGGGGAAGTTCAAAAGTTGATAGAACACAAACGTATCGTTTGCGAGATTTCAATTAGGAATGTTTCGTTTTCCCGTTCCAACTAAATTAACAATTTAAATTTCACAACCACGTCGATTTCAGGACTTTCCCACTGACCCATTTCGGTCTCATTTCACCAAGGTTAGCTTAGACTAAAAGTGTTATCGGCACGCCAGAGGCAAAGGAATTAAGACACATGGATGGCCTTAATTAAAAACCCACTTTCACTTTGATGATACTTTCATTTAATACTTGATGTTACCTAACAAACATCTAATTCGGCTTCTCATCGAATCTCAAATGTTTAGCTGCTTCTTTCTCGGCTTTCTTCAGCAATTTGTCGCGTCCTCTTTGTTTTTTCGCCAGCTTCTTGAACTTCACTGTTCTATCATTCTCAATCTTTTCCCAGTAGGCCTTTTCTTCGTCCCCTTCTAAAATAGTTTTCTCCCCATCAAAGTCTTTCTCGCAAAATTCGCTGGCTGCTTCACTAGTTGCAAACCTTATAAACACCTCCTCGCTGCCACAAGGTAACGGGATATCCACGTAATTTACGTCGGGGGCAACGCATTTGATATCGTTCTGCAATGGAAATTAGCCGTCGTTAAACACGGATAATTTTAAGCAAAGGGGGAATTGAGAACCTTTAGTTTTTTGACGTCGCTGCATTGTTCCAGTAGTTTAAGCTTCACTATTACTCCGGACACGTAAGCGAGTTTAGTGGCCTCTGTAGGTGTTTCCAACTCTATTTTGTCATTGCCATGTTCGGCAGTTTCACCAGCATCAGCAAAGTTTGGACTCTGCTCGTTTGGACCATATTTTTGCTGCCGAAGATATAGCTTTAATTCGCGCATTTTCTTCCTTTGCAAGTTCAAGTAGTTGTTCCTGAGCCTTTTCCACTCGGTTCTGAAATGTACACCTCAAGAGACAAGTTATTTATAGATTTTTTTTACTTACTTGGAAAGCACTTGCAGTCCCAACTCTTTGACCATATTTTTCTTCTTTTCCTTTTTCTTTTTCTTCTTTTTCCGCTTCTCGCACTTTTCAGTCTGAGCGTCTTCCGGATTTTCCGACACTTGAGCTTCTTCATCGGTTTTCCGCCTCTTTGCCGGCACATCCTTTTGCCCACTTAACTTCCGCTTTTCACTCGGAGTTTCTTCCAGAGTTTTCGATACTATAGTTTCTTCATCGGTTTTTGGCTTCTTTGCCGGTACATCAGTTTGCTCACTTAACTTCCGCTTCTTCTCCTTGCCTTCTTTGGTTTTACCTTCTACTTTCGATGCCGATTGATCGCTTTCGATTTCAACGTTATCACCAGTATCTGGAGCTGTATCAATGTTTTCATTTACTGTTCGAACATGAATCTTGGGCACAGTCTCGACATTTTCATCAACATTTTCAACAGTTCCAGGCTCTTCGTAAGTTCTAACACTTTGAAGTTCTTCTGGGCATTTGCTGGAAGGCATCTGGCATCCGATGCTATTGAAGAACGCTAACGCTTGGTCCGCTTCTTGGGGCGTTTCGTACTCAATAAAGGCAAAGCCCTTGTTCACCTTGTGGGCGTACTTGGGAATGGAAATGTAGGCAATTTTGCCAAAATCTGAGAATATTTGCGATAACGTTTCATGCGTGGCATCAGCCTTAATGTTTTCAACATAGATTGTGCAAAGAGTTTCATCCTCCTTGACTTTTATCGGTAGTTTTCTACATAACTTTAAACCGTCTTCTGATGTTTCAATGAGTTTTGAGTTTCGCACAGCTTTGCGAATATCCTCGGTTGTACAGTTGAGCTTTTTGATTTTGTTGAATTTTTGAAACTGCTCTATTTCCACGTCTGAAATTAAAACATACTCAGATGGGGATTTTGTTCAATAGGAGATTATCCTATAGGTTTTGCAGCAATATTCTTAAAGGTATAGGAAAGTGTAAATACTTACATCTATCCTTACTGATAATAGTGGATAAAAACCGGTCTTTGGACAAATTGGCATCACTAAAGTAAAATTCCATCTGCTGAAGAATCGTGTTATAAAGGTGTTTTTTGCGATTTCGGGGTCTCTTCGGTTGCTCTTCCACCGTGGCCGAACATTCTCCTTCGCCCATTTTCAGAGAAATTATCAAAATTCAAGTATAAACAGCCTGAATCCTGCTGAAGCTGAACTTTGTATAAACTGTTATAAACTCGTCTTTATCTATGGTATAAACTCTATTTTCATAGGTTATTGCCACTTTTGCATCAAACTCAGATTAAACTGCTTCTGCTTTCTTTGGGTGGAGCACTTGGGCGGAGCACAATCCTTCATCAAAGATTAATAAAACGTCGCAACCAGACCAGAAAAACAAATGTAGACTAACATGAGCCATGCGCCTATTTAAAGGGCCCATAAGTTAATTTTCGGACCCCTCCGGTATAGTTGCGATTATTATTTTAATTATTTATTATATACGATTATCTCAACTATCATAATTTTGTTGATTACACGTCGTCTATATGGCAACGTCGATTGTTTAGAGAAGAAGTAGATCGTTGATTTGAATCGATTTCAAAATGGCTGAACCAGAAACAAAAGTGGAAGTTGCCGAAGTTTTCTCTGACGAAATAATGCGTAAAAAGTCGGAAAGTGAAAATTCCAAGTCGAATAATCACGACGAGGATAGTGAAAGTGCGGAGGAGCAGCCTCTGGATGCTGGAATTCACTATTTAGTCCGCAGAACCGATAACTCCTGGTGTAGGTTTATTGTTTATCCTAACCTCAAAATCTTATTTATTATTAAATTATTAGCTAATTTGCAACTGTTTTACTTCAGACCCGGGTGAAATCATTCAATCCCGCTACAATGAGTTGGAGCGACAGTATGAGTATTACGTGCACTATGAGGGATACAATCGGCGCTTAGATGAATGGGTAATTCATAAGGTTCATTTAGGCAACTGTATATTCACAATTGAACCCCCTTTCAGGTGCCAAGAGGCAGAATCATGTCTTCAAGATTCAACTTAACGGATGGTCAAAAGATGCCTGATCTCAAAACTTGGAAAGAAAGGCCTGTGATCACTGATCTTCTGTCGGATAGCTCAGACAGAAAAATCACTAGAAACCAAAAGCGAAGGCATGACGAAATTAATCACATCCAGAAAACGTACGCTGGATCTAAATTGCCGAAACCTCACATAGTACAGTAGCTGTATTTTTACAGTTATGCTGAGATGGACCCCACAACAGCAGCTTTGGAGAAAGAGCATGAACAAATCACAAAAGTGAAATACATTGATAGGATACAGATTGGCCGTTTTGAGATCGACACCTGGTACTTCAGTCCGTATCCTGAAGAATATGGCAGGCAGTCAAAGCTTTGGATCTGTGAATACTGCTTGAAATACATGCGGCTGGAAAAGAGCTACAGATATCACATGGTTAGTGTTCAATTGTCGGTCTCAATCATTTTAACTTACTTAAAATATTGCAGAGTGAGTGCACTTGGAGGCAACCGGTGGGCAAAGAAATCTATAGGAAAGGAACTTTGTCAGTTTACGAAGTAGATGGAAGAGATCACAAGGTACTTGGGTGCTTTTCAGACCTATGATGTGTTTTTCATACCATTTTCATTGCAGGTTTACTGCCAGAACTTGTGCCTGCTAGCCAAACTATTTCTAGACCACAAAACATTGTATTTCGACGTAGAACCGTTCCTGTTTTATATTCTGTGCGAAGTGGACAAACAAGGCGCCCATATCGTTGGATACTTTTCAAAGGTAAGATTAACCGGATCTTCATCTTCTGGTTTTAGCCAATTAAGCCTTTTGAATATACCTACCTAAATGGTATTTGACAAAATTTATATAAAACCTTTGAAGTGCTGACAAGGTCCATTAATTTCGCTGTGAATATTGTATTTAGAATTCTTATTCTTATTCTCATTCGACAATCTTAAGGTTTGGGAGTAATTAAACTCCATCTGTATGAAAAATCAGCCTTAACATGCTGCTCAATTCTTTTCTTAAAGGAAAAGGAATCACCCGATGGTAATAATGTAGCCTGCATTTTAACTCTACCGCCATATCAGAGGCAGGGATACGGGAAATTGTTGATTGCCTTTAGTTACGAGCTCTCCAGATTGGAGGGAACGGTTGGTAGTCCCGAACAACCGCTAAGTGACTTGGGTAAACTCAGTTACCGTAGTTATTGGAGCTGGGTTCTTTTAGAGATTCTCAGGGATTTTAGAGGGACTTTGAGCATTAAAGACTTAAGGTAAGTCTCGATCAGAGTGGCAAACATATTTGCATTTTGCTGTGTTGCGTTCGCATGTGGAAGTATTGATTCGTGGTGGATTTGTTTAACTTGTCCGCATTATTATTTGCACTGCACACAGAGAAACTTTGTGTATTTTTTTGTGTTTTTACGGTTTAAATATGTTTTATTTTCCAAGTGCGGTATTGATTTTCTTAGATTGTGTTTTTAGTTTCTAAATAAACGTTTGGTAGTTTTTTATTTTGTCGGAAAGGAAGATAACTATAAGACAACTACCGAGCCATTGTGTGAGCAAACTACGAACATTTCTGTTTTATGTGATATTCATTGATGTTGCTTTGATACAACGGATTATTTCTGCAACTTACATTTTCGTCTCTTGATGTCGTTTGTCATGTTCACTTTATTTTTCGTTTATACATTACTCTAAATACCCAGTTCTGTACCATTTTTATGTTAAGAAAACGAGGAATCACGCGTTCAGAGTTCATTTGAAAACACGCTGGACTTTTCTGATCAAGAATGAGGGAAAACTATGGCCAATTTTGAGCGGTTTCGATCTTTAGGCGACGATATGTTATGCAGTTTCTTACAGACTGAAAATAAATGAACAAACGAATATATTCTAGGGCCAATCAAGTTGTTTGAATTTGAGGAAGTACGAAAATTATTGATTTGATTTCTTGGCCAGTTTCTGTGAATTTTTCCAAGTTATCATTTTAATTTCCCGATACATTTTCTAGTTTTGTTTATTATATTCGGGTACCAAAAATGCTTAAGAAAAATTGTGAGGGCGAATAACGGTTCATTTTGCACACATTTCTCATAGTTTTCTTCTATTTTCTTCATAATTTGTCTGCAAATTTACCACCGCAACAATAACACACTTACCACTCACAGTTAACGCCGGGAACTGCACAATTATAATTTACAAAGTGAAATTATTAACGAAACTGAAGAAAGTGATTTATTTGCCCTACTAATTGTTTGCATTCTGCAAATTAATCATCACATCACAAATTTTATGATTAGTCGTTCTTGGAGAAGTGCGGTTTTCCTCCAATTTTGTTACATTTTAGTTTGTTTTTTGTTTGTTTGAACAGGTTACGACATTTTCTCTTAATAATAATAATTGCAAATATTATTATCGTCAGTTCTTCACAAAATCCCAGAAGGAATTACTTCAATTTCGAATCTTTCTAAGTAGATCTTTGTTGTTTGTCGTATGTTGTCCCACCTTTTCATATGTAGTTCTCCCGAACTATTTTAGCCGGAACTTTAATTTTTAGTCAAATGACTAGCATAACCCAAACAGACATCATATCGACACTGCAAAGTATGAACATGGTGAAGTACTGGAAAGGACAGCATGTGATCTGCGTAACGCCGAAATTGGTGGACGAACACATCCGTTCCAGCCAGTACAAAAGGCCGCGATTATGCGTCGACAGTACAGCCCTCAGATGGTCGCCTCGCCGGCATGTTAACAATAAATTGGGAAAAAAATAGACCCAATTTGTTTACATATATTTTTAATCAAATTGTTACTTGTACTTGCAATTTTTCGTCAGTTAAATCGAGTACTTTTTGTGATATAACGTGGAATGTATGAATAAGTAGCGTAGTGAATGTAACCAGTACATGACCAATGCTTCTAAACTCCAATAAAATTATTCGTTTACTGACTTGTGTGTGTTTTTATTATTAATGCCCACTTCACACTTTAATAACCTGTTATTTGCCTGCAAGCGCAGTTGATCGTGTCGCGGTCTCCGGGCGTGTCTTTCCTTGCCATTGGTCGTCAAGGTGCAGGTGTTTGCGGTACCCGCCTCATATACATACCGGTACCATGTAGATGGAGTTTCGGTTCGAAATACTGGAAATCATTATTATTTTGTCCAGGCAGCTGATGAATAATCAGTCTCATTAACAGTACATATTCAGACAACCTGCTATTTTTTAAGGGATGCTGGCCCAGACACTGAGGATTTCAGTTAGAAATTGAAAGTTTATTTTTCTTCGCAAGAAGGCGGATTTAGAAGACATCTAATAGTCGAATTAGAGTCTTCTAGATGTACTTCTCTGTGCGAAGTTTTCTATGTTTTATGATTCAAAATTTTTATACTTGATTGAACGTTTTCCGTTCAGCAAAACCAATTTTCGTTGGCAAATAAATAAGCGCAACGTGCCACCATTTTACTTCCCATACGCGATTGAAGAGATAGTTAAAAAGCCAGACCAGTTGACCGATTTGCATTTTTTGAAAAGTGAGACATCAAGAAGAACGGACGCTGGAGGCGAGAGCGGCCATGCCGGGGACACACAAACGCGATTGGTCGCCCATCTCCTTCGTTCTTTGTTTCTTCGTGTTGATCTTCCGAACATGCAGAATCATTCCTCCTGCTTGGCTGGTGTTTTTTGCTCGGGGATGTTGCATTATCTGAAGAGTCGATATCCACTTGGGTGCTATGTCAGTTTTCATTTCGTTTACATTTTGATTGAGTTCGATAGAGTGCGGTGGATGGACCACCAAGTTGCACTCTCACATTAGCCCGACGATTTGGTGCAAATTATGCCGCGTTCGGGCTAAAACTCAAACGGTTATAAATTGGTCGGTTGACTGATTGCCCTCGGAATCACGATTTCTTCCACACGACTTGAACGTTTAGTTTCAGATTTTCTTAAGCAGCCTTCATTATTTCTTAACTTTTATGAATTATTACTGTAAGAGCATCACAGTGGATTTTATTTCAGCCATTGAATGCAGACTGAACAAGACATTATTCAAAGCAGCAATTCATTAATTGTCTGACTGGTCTCGTATTTGCATTTTACATTATTGTTACCGAAGATGATTTATCGTTAATTTGAAAACCCCTATTGACTCACCCTGATTCCTAGAATCATGTGAACAATCAAGGTTTACGCAAAAAATCAGCTTTGTTTCTAGTGCCTTAATAATACCAGCAACCTTTAATTTGTGCAAACCAAGTTTTGGGGCAATGAGACAATTTCTAAAAAATTACACGTTTTGTACAATGAAATTGAAAAAAGGAATTGAAATGAAGCTCTCAATACAAATGGTTCATTTTTTGAGAATGTCTCATGCTATTGGCTTTTGCAGTTTCGACAACATTGAGCAAAAAAAGTGCCATCAAAAGCTGTGTCGAATTTTTTTGTATATAAAAATTGTTCTTGTAAATTTGTTTGTTGTTTGTAAATTTTAAAGGGGATTTAATAAAGATGATACTACTCTATGCCATGATTTTAATGACCCACGTTTAAATATGTAAAAACTTTAATAAAATATAATTTGTGCTGTGTATTCTCAAGCCTTTTCAGTCGCCTTAATGCATTTTTCTTGTCACTTCCCGGCTGAAATTTTTCTCTTGTTAGATTCAATTATATGTCTGAAGAATTGCTGCTTCGATCTAAAACAACAAAACTCACAAGTTTAATTTTAAGACACTTTAATAGTCTAATCACTTCACTTATATAAATTTAATAGAAAGTTTATCACATTTTCAACTGTTTTACATTAATCTTCCGTATCGCTGGGCGTTAAAAGCCAGCCTGAATTTAAGAATTAGGGACATTAATCAAGCTGGTGACAAGATTGGCTCGTTAACTTCGTCACAAATAAAAATATGCGGTTCATCATCAGGGTTTTAGCCGCGTAAATCTGTCACATTTTTCCCGATATTCGATAGGGTAGGGTGTTTGAGACGGGACACATGTAGAAAACGATAAACAACTCTCTACTAGCCGCCACTGTGTAGGCAATACTTGAAATTGGAAGACAAAATTGCATTAAATTTAATCAACTATAAAAGTGTATGTACAAAAAAAACGGTTAAGTCAACGATTAGAATGTAAAAAAAATGCTTTGTAATTTCTATGTATTTGAAATCTTGAATAATCCAATCAGCTTTTGAAACACGTTTTTTGCATTAAATCGCCTCAAGTATGCGTGTTTTTAATTGGTAAAGGACAGCACGCAACACCCGGTATACAAAAAGTTCAAATTGTCTGATTTTAATTATGGGCTCAAAGTCATTAGATAAAACTTGAGAAGGAAGCAGACAGCGATAAAGAATGCGTATTAATCAAATAGTTAATAAGATTAATTAAATATCGTGTTAAAGTTTAAGAGTAGCGTGGTTGTAATGGCGCTTTCAAAGATGCTCGTGCAATCATAAAAGTGGATGAAATAATTTGCGTTTTCCGACTTGCAAATACACCGATTGCACTCATTTAGTTTGTTCTATCTATGAGTATCTGATTCTATCTATGAGTATTGATCTATGAGTATCTTTATACATGGATTTTTTATGGATACCTAAGTGGTGATGATTTCATCAAATTTCCCATATTAAGGATCGTTTTATGGATAAACGGAACCAGAAATCGCTTGTATGCAATTTTGTTTTTTAGAAGTTTTTCATAAAACTAAATCATCTAATAAAAATCAAATGAACATACAGTGAAGAGTTTTTGAGTGTCCAAAAATTCTGAATGAAATGGATTTTTCGCGGCTTAAGCATCGGCATAATGCGTAGTCATCCGTGTCGCAGGTTCAAGTCCTGCCGAAAACAGTAAATTTTTCTTATTTCAAAAATGATTTGTCCGCTTAAGCCGCGAAAAAACGCCATTTCACAAAAATCAAAGTTTACTCTAAAGCAGGACGAATTGATATGATTGTTATTCTGAAAGAATATCTTCGAAACTTTATCTGCGTGTGCGAATTGAAAATGATCACAGTTCCGTATTTTTTTCGTTGGAAGTCTCTTTCGTCAGTTCTTGTCCAAAGCTTCGAGTTGCGGGTCCACAGCTCTGTCGTCGCATATTTTTGCAGATTAAGTTTCAAAATGATGAAGCTGAGCTGACATGGCAGCGAACCAAATGTTGCCATCTTCTGCATCCCGCTCAGCTCGATACCGATGACGTTTCGAGATTTGTGATCTGATTTCCGGCGCTTCGACAAGCGACCGCAGCTACCCGAATCAGCCCCCAATTTGAACTTCCTGACGATACGGAACAAAAATATTTCCCCTAACTAATGAACATATCGAATTTGCGCCATCCTCCCCAAAACAAATTCTTTCGCTCGAAAAATGTGTGGAAAGATTATAAACTCGGGTGTCGCATGGCCGTTTAGCGATTAATCAGTAGACAATGGATGTCAAGTCCGGCCGTTCTTCGGGTTCAAAGGAAGCGGTTCTTCGAAATACCGAAAACCTCTCCTCCCGGTACAGCATTCTTATAGCCTTGGACGGAAATTTTACCTAAAAGTGAATAATTATGGCCTGCTGGGCTCTTTTGTCGATCCTCATTCGGTTCTCCGCTGTTTGATCACTTGATTGTGAATTTTCTATCGAATTTCAATAGCCTTGTGCAAGCTGTTTTTTTCAGTTGTCAAACATATTGTTAGCCGATTTTAAGGTATAGTTTAAACGCGTGAAGTCAACCGCATTATGATCGGTTTTCAATGCTTACTAGTCTGCAGTTTAGTTACATTTCAGACTTTTTGCACGTCCGTTAGATATTTAGAGAGTTAATTTTACCTTTGCTCAATTGCACGACAAAGTTCCTCACATTTTATACATTCCACAATAGCTTGCTTAACTGGTGAGTTTTTGAGGATTTTAGATCGTCCTGGGAGAACATTTCTTCTTGTCGCTTCATAAGCTCAAGTTGCATCTGCTTCGAAAAAGTGGGAAGTTTTTTCCACGATGGTCTGAAAGTCCCAAAAACTTATTATTTAATAACTTTTAGGTCAATTTATTTTAGTTTTTCTCCAGTTATAATTTCGTAAGAGTTGTCAGTACTTTTAAAAATTGCTTCTAATTTTGGTAGTAAGTAAGTAATTCGTAATTTTTGGGAATGTTAAACTTAGCTTTTTTACGCACAATTTTCACAAAAAAATACCCTTTCCATGCTTAGGCATTTTTCAATTGATAAGATACTTTTGCACTTGTAATAAGACTTTTTAAACTTTAAGTCCGAGAAAAATAGCGTTTGTAACTCGACTACTAAAGATTTCGAGTTCCATCGAACCCTAACTCGAGCATAAGCGCCCCCATACAAATTGTGCTTGATAAACTTGTAAAGCAAATGAATCATGGAAAATAGGCAGGAGAATCGCTATATCAATCCATTTCCACGGTTTTGGGGCCGCCTTTTTTGATGACTTTTTACACAACAATCGACGGACCGCGGCGTCCCTAATCTCTTCTTCTCGACCTCGAGAGAGAAATTCACTCTTTTGTCGGCTCCTGACGTGTTTATTACCCTTGTCAGGTCTCCGGGTACAATCGGTGAAGAAGAAATCGCGTTAAAAACCGTGTTGTTTGCTATTTTATTAACTAAATATTGGGGGAAAACTCCATTTCTTTAGTCTGGAATTTTTAGTTTTAAGCACCTCAAGAACCTTCCAATTTTAGAGTGAAAATTTGGCACTCGTGTAACAACCAGAAGCTCTACTAATGTTATTTATGGTTGAATAAAAAAACTGTTAACTTGCAACTAAAGAACAAAATGTCCAGGAAGTACAAAGTGATTTAAAAAATAAATATCTACAGCTTTTTTCCAAACAACTGGTTTAAGAAAAAGTAGTTTTGATTAAAATAAAATATACAAATATCAACCCATGAAAATCCTTATTAATCCTTCCATTTTAATTAAC